ACAATCATTTTGTAATACAACCATGGTTCTACAAGCTATCAATATGTAAACAAGGGATATCCTGTCATTCAATAGTATTGTGTTACTCAATTATATTTCAAATATAAGTTTACTTTATACTATAGTAAATGATCATCACTTAGATCAAATTTCGTGAATGGTTTCCAATATTTTAACAAATATATATGTTTGTGCATAATAGATTACCAAGAGTCTAATTGTATTTCATTCGAAAGTAGGGAGTAACACAATCCAAATTTTCTAAGTGTCATAATTTGGACTTAATTGTACATTCTGTACCCAATTGTATAGACTTATATCTTTGGATTAAATTTAAGATCACAATGGGTTGAACATACAACCCATTGTCATACGTAAGGCAATGAAATTAAACTATAATTTCATTGTATAAATTGCCGGTTTATCGTGTCTTACATGTAGGGATGTCACTCATAGTGTATGGCAATTTAAGAAATGTGTATACTTTAGTTTAACGGACTTCAAACTTAGGGTATATGACGGTTTAAGTTGTATACTAGTGGTGCTGAGACCATTCCAACTATACCATTTATTGAAAATGGTAAACTAGACCCCTTGAATTTGTAGGGAACCGTATAGTTTACACGATAGTGAAGTTGTTTATTTCCCACTTGATGAAAACGGTTAGCAACACAAGAGGGGGGGTGAATTGTGTGTGTGTGGAACCGTGGCAGTTTTTCGCCCAGTTCTAGTGCGGGGTAAAGGGAATTGCGAAAAGTAAAGTGCACAAGGATTTAACGAGGAAAAATCCCTTGGCTCAAAGGGATTAAAAATCCTCGACCTCCCTCGGAGGAATTTTAAACAACTTCACTAAAAAGCCTTTTGAATGATTACAAGGGAAACTCTCCTAGTCTACCCTTGAGCCACCCCAACTCTATCCTCTCTAGGAAGAGTTATGCATCTCTACCTTGCGGGTAGAGAGCCTCTCAGCTTTACAACAAAGCTCTCACACGCACAAACCAACCCGAGGAGGCTACTCTTAGCCAATCCTCAAAACCCCATTACAATATGAAGAAGGGAAAGAAGAAACTCTATCTAGAACTCCGAGTGAGCAGTTTCAGGTGCCTTGAACTTCGTATTTTTCTCGAGTGTGTCTCTGAATATTTCTCTGGTCAAGCACACACTATTTTTCTTTGGCTGCTTCGTTTATATAGGCTGTCTTGGCAGACCGTTTTTGCATCCTTCCTTGAATAATTGATCTTCTAATCTTGGGACTTGCCTTGATATTTTGAATTACTTTCCTTCTAATTTGAGTGCCATGATCTCGGGTATATATCACGGATGCTTTCATAATAAATATCATGGAGAAGGATATTATATTAACTTAACATGTATACACTTGTAGCCAAGCACGAATCAATTATAATCAAGGAGCCTTTTTCAAAATTGATTTATCACTTAGCAAATATAGATATGTACGGTCAACAGCAATCATGCATTAGCTTAGTCAACAAAGAATAATGATTCAACTCAAAAGGTAAAGAAATATTTACTTTACAAATATGAATCACACGGTCATAAAGCAAAGCATTTATTTTATAAATGCTAAGTTCAATTACTTTATGCTTAACAATATAGCAAAAATGATTATTTAATATTTTAAGCAAGACAACCCCTTTCTTAACAAATTCAAATGCTACGGTCCACCAATATAAAGATAGCAAGAATACTTTCCATAAATCATTAAATTATATTCATGAGTGGATGACTAAGTCAAGCAAGGAAAGAGAATAAGTAGCTCAATGGAAAGTATGTATATATATAATGGTCATGCTAAAAGGCACTCATATAAACAAAATACGTTTACATTGTTTGGTCATGCAAAAAGATATTTTTGCTTAAAATAATATTCTTGACAAAGAATAAGCACTCATATAAGGAAAACATATTAATTGAAAATCAAGTAGATGCAATCAATATTAATTAAAACCATTCTGTGGAACTAGAAATGGTCTTGTATTAGTTCCACCTGCACGGTTAGTCAACAACACAATAATAATGTACATTTGGACCTGAGTATAGTTCTGTCCGCTGTTCCACCTGCATGATTAGTTAACAACAAAACATATATGTCCATTGTAGGATCGTTCCGGGTTCAGGTCTACGACTTGTTCCAAAATCACGACTTATATTCCTTTCCTGCAATCACTTATAGACCAAAAGTTATGAAAATAATAATTGGGAAATAATGGCATGCCCTCTTAGGGTGCCTTCACGTGTATATATAATAAATCAATAATAGAAAAATTACAAAAGTGTCCTCTACTATACGTTATTACACCCCCTCAATCTGTGCAGGGGAAACAACGCGCAGATTGGCACGTAAAAATTCAAAACGCTGACTAGATAAACTTTTTGTAAAGATGTCTGCCAACTGCAACTGAGTAGGGACATATTTAACCACAAGATCTCCGTGAGCTACTCGTTCTCTGACAAAATGATAGTCGATCTTGATATGCTTACTCCGATCATGTTGTATAGGATTGACAGCAAGATAGGAAGCGGAAACGTTATCGCATCGGAGCTGCACAGGAGCCGAGATAGTAATGCCCATATCTGCTAACAGGGAACGAATGAAGAGAGTATCTTGTACTGTATAAGCTATGGCACGGTACTCAGCCTCAGTAGAGGATTTAGACACCGTAGGCTGTTTCTTGGACCTCCAGGAAATTAAATTACTACCCAAAAAGACAGCATATCCAGTGGTAGACCGGCTACTATCCGGGCAGCCAGCCCAATCCGCATCAGAATAGGCAACAATGAGAGAAATATCAGGATTAGACTGAAGCCACAAACCGTGATCTACCGTGCCCTGTAAATATCTGTAAATACGCTTGACAGCCAAAAGGTGAGTAGTACGTGGAGCATGCATGAACTGAGAAACCAAATGCACAGCATAAGTAATATCAGGTCTAGTCAAAATCAAATACTGTAATGCATCTACCATACTACGATATTCAGTAGCATCAGTGAGAAGTTCACCATCTGTCAGAGAAAGAGTAGTACGCGATGGTAAAGGAGTACGAACAGGTTTAACAGTGTGAAGATGGAAACGTCGTAACAAATCAGAAATATATTTTTGCTGAGAAATAAATAAGCCCTGATTCGTACGACGAGTCTGAAGACCCAGAAAAAAATGTATATCCCCCAAGTCTTTCATGGCAAACTGGGAAGATAATGAATTAATAATGTGACGAACGAAGGGAAGAGAGGAGCCCGTAATCAAAATATCATCCACATAGAGAAGAATGTAAACCACCTGTGAACCACGGCGAAATACAAACATAGACGAATCAGACTTACTCTGCAAAAAACCATGTGTGAGAAGAAATCCACTGAATCTATGAAACCAGGCTCGGGGAGCCTGTTTAAGCCCATATAATGCCTTTTTGAGGCGACATATATGATTAGGAAAAGAAGGATGAATAAAGCCTGGGGGTTGACGCATGTAAACTTCCTCAGTCAGATAACCATGGAGAAAAGCATTTTTAACATCAAGTTGACGAATGCACCAACCAAGAGAGACAGCAATGGATAAAACAAGACGAACCGTGGTAGGTTTAACAACTGGACTAAAAGTTTCAGTAAAATCTATACCCGCTTGTTGCTTAAACCCTTGAGCAACCAAACGCGCTTTGTGGCGCTCAACGGAACCATCAGAATTATATTTAGTCTTGTAAACCCACTTACAACCAACTACATTTTTAGTGCTGTCAAAAGGTACTAAATCCCAAGTCTTATTAGCTAGTAATGCATTAAATTCATCAGCCATTGCATCCCGCCAAACAGAAAATTTTTGAGCCTGAGAAAAACAAGTGGGATCATCCGGGGGTGCAAAAACACTTAAATTAAAAATTGTTTTAGGTTTAAAAATGCCATCTTTAGAACGGGTCTGCATAGGATGAATATTAACAACAGGGGTCGGGCTAGGCGAGGTACTGATAGATATAGGCGAACTGTCCACCGAGGTGGTCTGTGAACTGCTTTCGGCAAAGCAGTCGCTGGAGGCCTGGGAATGTGAGATCGGGGAGTCAGGGGAGGTAGTAGCAATCGGCGTAGCAGGTAGAGTGTAGGTGGGGGGAGAAATATTCGGTGAGGGTGTGGATACAGGACTAGAAGGCGGAGTATGAGGTGCCGGGCTGGTGGTAGAAGATGTGGTGATGGGTACCAAACTGGTCGGAGGCACCGGTTGCAAAACCAAGGATGGAAGCCGTGGACTGGGAAGTGGCCAGGAAGCAGGCATGGTGGTGGGCTGGTTAGAGGAACGGGAAATAAGATGAGGATAAGGAAAGTTGTGCTCATGAAACTGGACATCCCGGCTAATATAGACTCTACCCGTTAAAGGGTCTAAACAACGATAACCCTTATACCCCGGAGCATACCCGATAAAAACACAACAAATGGAACGAGGTGAGAGTTTATTTGAAGACTTGGCAACAAAGTTTGGAAAACAAGCACACCCAAAAACTCGTAGAAAATTAAAATCAGGAACCTTATTAAAAATCTTCTCGAAAGGAGTGACATTTTTCAAAAGTGGAGTAGGGAGGCGATTGACAATATAAGTGGCAGTATAAAGAGCATCAACCCAAAACGTAGGCGGGAGAGAAGAGTCAATTAACATAGTCCTAGTTAATTCAAGTAAATGACGATGTTTGCGTTCTGCCACACCATTCTGAGCAGGAGTATCAGGGCAAGACTTTTTAAATAAAATGCCGGTCTTTAAAAAATGATTTTGAAAAATAATATTGTCAAATTCGCCTCCGCCATCACTCTGAAAAGATTTAATTTTCTTATTCAAGAGATTTTCAATAAGATTCTGAAAATTACAAAAGTGGGAAAAGACCTCAGATTTACGACGCATTGGATAGATCCACGTATATCGAGAAAAATCATCAATAAAAGAAACATAATATTTAAAACCAAGATTAGATAAAATAGGTGACTGCCAAACATCGGAGTGAATAAGCTCTAACGGAGCAGTACAAGAATGAATCACATCCTGAAAAGGTAGTCTGTGGGATTTACCCAACTTACAAGACACACAATCATGAGAAAAATTACTAGAAGCAGAAATAAAATGTTTTTGCCGAAGCGTATTTAAAACTCTATCACCACAATGCCCCAATCGTTTGTGCCAGGTCGGTCCAGGGAGAAGAGTAGTCTGAAGAGCATGAAACGGGTAAAGATGGTCTTTATTGGAAGCCTGAAGAAGATGCACCCCCGTCCGATTGTCCTTAATAAAAAAGGAATTTTTATTAAAAATCACCGTACAATCATTATCCGCACATAATTTATGAATAGACAACAAATTATATTTAAGATGTGGGACATGATAAACGGAGTTTAAAGCTAGAGGGCGGCCAGATGTATTTATATGAACGTTACCAACATGAGAAATAGGTAATTTTGTACCATTTGCAACTTGCACATTATTAGAGCCAGTGTAAGGAGATTTACAAGATAAAATACCTTCATGAGGAGTCATGTGAGCACTGGCACCTGAGTCAGGATACCACAGAGCAGCATTCGTCTCACCCGAGGGAATAGCAGCAAGAGCAGGCGTGGACTGACCAGTGAAGCGAGAACAATTCAGAGCAGAGTGACCTGGCGAGAAACAAATTTGGCAAACAACTGGATGTGGAGCATGGGAAAAACTATTGTCCACAGATGGAAAACCTGCACCAACACTATGAGTATCGCTAGAAGATAAATGATTAAAGTATGAATAACCAGACGAAAAATTACTTAAAAGTGCACCTGAATTTCCAGACTGAACCGGTCCACGTGGAGGAGCATATTGTGGCTGACCATAGGGCTGTTGACCATGAACGGGGGCGTGCACTGGAGGCTGAAAATTATGCCCGAAGGGAGGAGGGTACTGACCGTACTGATTTTGCTGAAACTGACCTCCATACCCACGGCCTCGGCCCCTCTGTCCGCGGCCACGGCCCCCGCGCTGACCACGAGCTCCCTGCTGCCGTCCGCCCTGACCACGAGCACCCCCTCGATCCGCAGGTCCACCGCGAGCAACAAAAGCCTGATGGGCCGGTGGTAGCTCCTGGGAACGAAGGTAATGTACTCGCTGTTCTTGTGCAAGCAAAATAGGACGTAGATTCTCTATGGTGGCACCTCCGGGAAAGTATGAAACAGCCGTGATTAAAGATTCATACTCGGGACCAAGCCCCGAAATAGTGTATTCAATCAAATCTTTATTACTAACCGGAGAGTTAATCAAATTCAAATTATCCGCCATAACCTTTATCTCTAAAAGATATTGTTCCATTGTTTGAGTCTCTTTCTTTTTAATATGTGAAAGAAGCCTTTTTAGCTCCATGGAACGAGCCAAACATGCGGACATGAACCGCGTCCGAAGACACTCCCAAACACGAGCAGAAACTGTGAGGTCATGGACCTCCATGAGTATGTCTCGGGACAAGGTAGCAAAAATCCATGAACGAATGGTTTGGTCAATTTTAACCCAATGATGATACTCCGGATTAGGAATTTCTCGTCCAAAATTATCATGAATAAAGGATGGCGGAGCCAATACGGATCCATCTAGAATTCCAAAAAGATTATGGGAAATTAGAAAAGATTCGAATTGAGTACGCCAAGGAAGAAAATCCTCAACGGCAGTCAAGCGGGTGGTAACAATATTAGTTACATTGGGTGTAGAAAACGCTAAATGTGAAGCCAAAGAAGCCAATAGAGTCGGATTATTAGCCGAACCTGACTGCGAAGCAATTGGTGGTGGCGGTAAAGATAACCCGCCCAGGTGGCCGGAAAAACCCGAAGAGCCCGCAGCATGAGGTGTGGAAAAGGAGACAGCCGCAGATGACGTGAATTGCGCAGCCGAGTGCGGTGCTGCATAGTTGGTAGAGGTGGGATTCCAACTGAACGGTTCTGGCATATTAAACAGACGATACGATCCCAACGGTGGGGGACCGTTAAAGCCATGCTGACGAGAAATTGAAGAAGACGCTGGAGGAGAGACCGGAGTTAATGAAGGCTGCACCGGAGATGAGATGGGCGCCATGGTTGTCATGTTGGAAGCCGAAGATGTAGCAGGCACGTCGGAGGCTGCTTCTGCTATACTGGAAGAAGACGCCATGATGGAGGCGCAGAGAAGGCTACGTGCGGCTAGGGTAACGAAAGGAGAAAGGCAAACCTAGGCATCTGATACCATATGAAAATAATAATTGGGAAATAATGGCATGCCCTCTTAGGGTGCCTTCACGTGTATATATAATAAATCAATAATAGAAAAATTACAAAAGTGTCCTCTACTATACGTTATTAAAAGTAACACTAGTCGTTTGTCATCAACAAAACAATATATTCCAACACCACTTATACTTGAGATGTAGTTCCCTATATCTCAATGTCTTCGTTCAATGATCTCGAGTTAATATGGACTCGGTTGCATATCGGTTGAATTGTCGATCGAGTTTGATACAGGTTTAAATCAATATTGGCTTATACTTATAATTTGTATAAATGATGCCCAAGTTGGGATCTCCCTTAACTTTAGAGTTCTTGTATTCCCTTTTAATTACACGTATGAATTATTGAAGCATAATATTATCACAATATTATCTTGTACATATTAGCACAATATTAACATATATTTATCACGTGTAATTATCATGTACGTAGGGTTAAGTTCTATCCCTTAGTTTATGCTAGTTAGTTAAGTCTAGCTTATCACCTCAATTGTACAGCCTATATATTGATGTACATACATCGTGCTAAATGCATCAATAATATACTTCTCCTAATACTTCTTCATGGTATCAAGAGCCTTTCTCTAACGAGCTCAGTTTTTTTTTTTCCGATCCAATCATGTCAATCATCACTCCTACCACCCAAGTCGTTGCCCTCACGGCTTCAACCCACTTCCCTATCAAATTAACTACCTCAAATTATCCCGTATGGAAGTGCCAGGTTCACTCGGCCCTCATTGGCCTTGGTCTCGACGGCTATGTCGATGGCTCAACTGTAGCGCCGGACAAATTCATGGATGATGCTAAGACTCAGCCGAATCCATGTTACGCTATTTGGTATCGCCAAGATCGCACTATTATCAGTGCACTGCTCGGTAGTTGTGCCGATGCTATTCAACCGTTGATCTCTTCTGTCACGACGGCAAAGCAAGCTTGGGACAAGCTCTCGCTCACCTATGCGAGTACATCACGCGGCAGGATCATATCTCTCAAAACTGCTCTCTCCCGAACTACAAAAGGAGGCCGCAATATCACCGAATATGTTGCTGAAATGTACGCCATCTCTGAAGCATTGGCTCTCGCTCAAAACCCAATTCCGGAGGAAGATTTGGTCATAAATATTCTCAATGGCCTTGGTCCGGAATTTGGTGAACTTAGATCAGCCATTCGCGTGCGCAACACACCCCTTCCACTTGCGGAATTGCAAGACATTTTACTGGAGCATGAGCAAAAACTCCAGGAGGCAGGTACGTCAGTTCAACAGCTTGTACCCACAGCCCATTACACGCAAGCTACTGGACGCACGTTTGACTCTCCCATGCATGTGGATCGTCGTTCAACTCAGTCCACTCCTGATCGCCGAGGTCACCACAATCGCCGAGGGCGTGGTGGCAACAACCATGGTCAGTACCGGAACTCCCACATGAATGGAGTTGTATGCCGGTTCTGTAATTTTTCCGGGCATGAGGTCAAACAATGCCGGAAATTACAGAGGTTTCTCCGTGAACATCAAATTGTCACCTCATCGGGGCCTGGTTCTCCCGTGGCTCACAATACAATGGTCAATCCCATGACCGGCGGTCAGCAGTGGCTTTTTGACAGTGGGGCCTCCCATCATGTCACCTCAGATAATTCCAACCTTCCGACCTATGCTGAGTATGGAGGCCCTGACGAGGTCCATCTTGGTGACGGTAATTCCCTGACCATTACACACACTGGTTCAACGAGCCTAGCCACAAAATCCCGACCTTTATCCTTAACCAATGTTCTTTGTGTTCCTAGCCTTAATAAAAATTTAATTTCCGTTGCTAAACTTTGCAAGACTAACTCCGTTTCTGTTGAATTTTTTTCTACTCATTTTTTTGTCAAGGATCGGGTCACGGGGGCGGTGCTCATGCGCGGGGAGAACATCCATGATGTCTACTATGTCCAATCACCAAGGTCACCACAAATTCATCTTTCCCGGGTCTCCGTTCCGTCTCACTGGCATCACACATTTGGTCATCCGTCTCGTCGTATTTTTGATTTGTTGGTTCATCAAAATAAACATGTTATTCCATGTAACATTTCGTTAAGTGAGTTTCATTGTTCGTCTTGTCATATTAATAAAAGTACTCGACTGCCATTTTCCATTAATACTATGCAAGCCAATTCACCTCTTGAGTTAATATACAGTGATGTATGGAGCACATCCACTCCCTCTTTTGATGGCTTTAAGTATTACGTAAGTTTTGTTGATTATTTCACCAGGTACACTTGGCTATATCCACTCAAAAATAAGAGTGATGTGTCAATTGTGTTTCCTCAGTTTCATCGCCTGGTTGAAAAATATTTTACTCATCAAATTAAAGCAGTCTTCTCCGACAACGGGGGTGAGTACATTAAATTGCGGTCATACCTGAATCATCACGGTATATCTCACTTTACCACACCCCCTCACACGCCTGAACATAACGGAATTGCTGAACGTCGGCATAGGCATATTGTTGATACCGGTCTTACTCTACTTCATTATGCCGGTCTGCCTCACTCATATTGGCCATATGCCTTCCACACAGCAGTCTATCTTATCAATCGTCTTCCTAACTCCGCCATTAATTTTTCTACACCATTTTTCCAACTATATAATCGTCACCCTAATTACAAAAAGTTACAACCTTTTGGGTGCTTATGCTATCCATGGCTTCGTCCATATTCTTCATCTAAAATACATGCCCGCTCCATACCATGTATTTTTATTGGCTACTCACTGTCTCAGTCGGCGTACTTTTGTCTTGATCCCAGTACAAATCGTGTATACACGAGTCGTCATGTACGTTTCATTCCTCATATTTTCCCATTCCGCTCCTCACAGTCTGAGTCCGCTCCATGCATGCACCTGCCGCCCGAGGACCCACCTTCCTTGCCACCTCCATCCTTATAAAAAACTAATTCACCTAGTCAACAATTATCTCCTATTTATCCCCTTTTGAGTCCACCCATCACCGAACTATCCTTATCCCAAAACAACACACCTAACCCACCTATTTCTCCCAATTCTCAACCCTCTGCCACGAATCACTCTAACCCACACCCAAACAATTCCAACTCATGTAGGAACCGATGTATGAAAAATTAAACAATACGCGTACAAATACCTATGTTCACATGTGTAACCATTTAGTAGTAATTATACATGTTAATAGGGCTGACATACCAATGGGAGAATTGATCAAAAAAATATAAGTCGAATATAACATGGTAAGACATACGTGGGTTCACATACCATGAGTTCGGAGAATTGTATCATCAATGATTGAAGTAATCATAAATTTACTGTCGTATATACCTAGGATGTTTTCTTTTGGACTGTTTTTAGTCCCAGACCAGACCAGACCAGACTTAAACAGACCAGACCATACCAGACCAGACTTAAACAGACCAGACCAGACCAGACCAGACTTAAACAGACCAGACCAGACCAGACCAGACTTTCGTAGTTATAAAATACACAGAGACCAGACGTTTACCAGACCAGACCAGTTCAGACCAAACCAGACTTAAACAGACCAGACTAGACCAGACCAGCAAATTTCAGTCCAAAAGAAAACATCCTTAAACAGAGAAGTATGTCAGCAATAAGTTTACTATGGATATCCATGAGTAGGGGTGGTTCGGTACGGTATACCGAATATTTTATCGCATACATTTACCATACCGTAAACTTTCGGTATGCCAAAATACA